TCCTTCAGAAAGCCTCGTCAGCTGAGCGGTAATTATCCAGCGGTGAAGAGCTGAGCCACAGGAGGAAGAGATGAAGCAGATATCAGAGCGGTTATCCAGGCGGCAGAGGATCAGATCAGGCGTTTCAGCTCCCAGCAGGCCTTTCTGCCCCTCAGGAGCCTCACTGGTTTAGAGACATCAAAGCAGCCGTAAGCAGCCCAGTGCATGCTGGTCGATATCCAAACCAACGCCGCTCCCTCTGCTGCTGTCCACGCCTGCATCCTCTTCCTCCTTCTCATGTCGGACCTCATGTGTTCGTACTCTTCTTCGTTTTCTCCCAATCGGTTCCTCTTCTTCCTTCGTCCTTTTTGCTCTCCTTTCTTTTCATTCCATCACTCATCTCTTTGGTTCCCTTTCCTCCAGCCTTCTATTTCAATTTATTTTTCCTTTCCTTTCTTTTCCTCCTCTTCTTCTCCTTTAATATTCTTTCCTTGCCTTTCTTTCTTTAATTTCCTCTAATCTTCTGTACTTTCCTGTCCTCTAACTTTCTTTCCTTTCATTCATTTTGTCTTTCTCCTTTCCTTTCTTTTCCTCACTATTCTCTCCTTTCACCTAGTCCCATCTCTTCTTTCCTTTCCTCTGCCCCTTTAATTTTCTTTCTATACCTCTCAATCTTCTTTAATTCTTTCCAATCATTCCTTCTCTCTAATCTTCTTTCATTTTCTTCTTTTAAATTTCTCATCTTTCTTCTCTCCTTCCTCTAGCCCCATCTCCTCCCTTCTTTCCATCCCCTCCTTTAATCTCCTTTCCTTTCCTCCCCTCTCATCCTCTTCCTCCTACGCTCCCCCTCCCTCGTTTCCTGCTCTTCTCTTCCTCTCCTCTCATCAATACTTTTGATTTCCATCTCTCCTCCATAACGAGCGGCGGAGAGATGGACGGAATCGTATTGATGTGTTTTCTTTTTTTTTTTTTTAAGGTTCATGGTTGTAATTAACATACTGCCGCTCAATCGGTCAAGGTTTGCATCTCGCACACACACACACACACACACACACACACACACACACACACACACACACTGCTGGAGCTATAAGTTGTGCACACACACAAACACACACATTTGATCATTACAGGCGAGCAGACACACCTATCCCCATATGAAGACACACACGTACAGATTGGATGCAGCGATTTGTAGGCGAGGTGTAAGCATGGATGCACACATGTGGCAAGTCATTTCCATCAGATTTACCTTCTCGCCGCAGCCTCCTTCGCTCTGCCATTAGTTCTCTAGATAGCTCTCAGTGAAAGATGTGAAAACAACACTTGTGTATAAAATATTAGAATTGTCTTGTTGATGATCTGCAGTCACGGTTACACTTGTTATTCAGACGGGATGTTTGAGGTCTGAGTGGAGAGAATGAATTTCAGAGCTCACGTTGCTGTATGTAAATGACTTTCCTGCTCTCTCTTTCTCTCTCTGTGTGTCTTTGTGTTGCTCGTGCGCTCTTTGGAGCTGGATTGTATCCAGACTACATAAAATTCAGGGTGCAGCTCCACGCTGACCTTTGTGTGGTTGTGTTGGTAGTGCTTCTCTCTGTGGAAGCATCTCTGCCTGCAGTGCTCCAACTGAAACCACCGACTGGAGGAATATACAGGAATATATTCTATATTTTTACCTTATTGTCTTTTAAAAGTGTGTGAAACCACTCGTAGAAGATTGAACAAGATGTAAAATAGATTTAATTTAAAGAGTAAAAATAAACAAGTAGTGTTTTAGCTCAGAGTTAGTAGTAGACAGGTCGTCATTAAGCAATGTTTTAATATAATTCAGTCATCAGGGTTTCCCACACGTCCTGTAAAACCTGGATATTTAGAGACTTGTTTTGCCTGTAAATTGATTAAAATGATCAAATATCCTGGAAAAAACTATTGTACGTATATATCGCCTACATAAACCTATGTTTGAGGAAAACTGGAGTAAACTGCGGTCAAATAACCAGAGACAGAAAGCTGAAAACATGGAGTGAATGCTGACCTGTAAAGAACCTGCGTCACTTCATCGGGAACCCTGAATCTTTAAAAAAGGAGGAATATAACTTGGAAGGATGTATAAATTAGGCCTACCGGCAAATGCTGTCATGTATTGCCAGGAAAACTAAAGAGTGGGAACCTTGAAAGTTACCTTTTATTTTAGATTATTTGCTCAACATATTCAATTTAGCCCTTTATTTTAAATGTGTAGATGTTTTTGGAGCTAGTGTTATTGTCATTTCTCCATTATTTGCAGTTAACATGAGAGACAGGAAAGAAACAACGTTTATCTGAGAAAGACCTTTAGCAGCTGCGTGAATTATGACTCCTTTCTCTCAGAGCAAAGATGGAAGCTGTTGTTATAGAGCCGGCAACCTTGGAGTGGCCCAGCATACATAAATCTGACATATGACAAAATAAGTAAACTACATATATAGACATCTCCCCTTCAACCGCGTGGCAGGATGTTTACGGATACAGCAACACTGCCAATCGGCTCTCATAAATCAGTGCTTTTCGACCACAGTAAGTAGCTTTTCCAAACATCTGGCTATTGACAGTCACAAGACAGGATGTGACTCTGCCAGTCCTGAATTGGCAAAGAAACCTGTGTAGCTCTACCTGGACTGACAAGCACTTGTTTATTTGGCCGCCATCTTGAAATGCAAAAACCAATGTGTTCAATTTGCAATAAGAAGAAAACCTTTGGAAACACCACATTCAGAAACAACAAACTTCCCAGATAGTCTTTGCAAACTTTCAAAAGTTAAACGATTTTTTGCTTCTGAAAATGTCTGTCCCACCCCCATTTCCTGGTTTTTAAAGTCTGGCCCAACTGAATAGTCCTGTTGTAGAGCATAACATAAAACTTCATCCATGAATTAGTTTCTACGTATGTTTTAGGGAAAACTTTGGTAACAGTTTGGAAAGGCACTTTCAAAAAATATTTGGCAGGTGATTGGATGAACCATCTGTCTATCTCCATCTATCACAGGCGAACTTCAACCAATCAGATCAATGAACAATATAAGAGAGTCAAACGTTTTACGGTGTTGTTTCAGTTCTTCAGTGTCGTTCTTTGCTCGTCTTTCAGTGAACAAATACTCTCCAGCTCTGATAGAACTGATGCTAACAGCAGCTACACTAACCTCTTTAACTTGCAGTCTAACCACAGTTACTGCAGATGTTCCAGACCAATATATCAACCTAAAACTCAGTAACTGTAAAGCTTTCCGTCCATGTTGTATCTTCAAACCCGACTACGAGGACAGGACGCGATGCTGCGTGCAGTCACTGTCCCCAGCAGTTGGCTCCAATGCTAACTACAATGTCTTGTTTTTCCATGTTTGGTGTTTATAAGAAAGATAGAGTGAATATATGGGATTGATTGTACTTTAGTGGATTGTACGTAAAGTATTGAACATGCTGTACAGACACATCAACTCCCGCTCCCTCGAAACATCTTTAATCGTTCTCTCCTTTTTTGTTTCATCTCTAAAATAAATGAAACACTTTAAAGCTTTTTCTCCTCTTTCTCTGATCTTCGCTTTAAGTGTTAACTCATCCACCTCCCTTTCAAGAATGACGGTTTAAACTCTCATTTCTTTCTTCTCCTTCACCTCCACCTCTCCTTCATGGCTGAAGGTTTAAACTCCTCCTTTAAGCTGTCTCCTCAGCTCCTCTTCAGGAGTGAAGGGGGGGGACTTAACTTGAGAAATCAATACTGGATCAGACACTATTTCTCGTGGATTCTCCTGATCTTCTTGTGATTCCTCCTACATTTTACACCAAATAAATCTGAAAATGAGCCCATATGTTGCTCTTATGCCATTAAATGTGATTTAAGATTCTCTTTAGGTCCCTTAAGAGAGTTTCAGGTGGCGATGTGTAAGTTCTGAGCTCCATCTCCTCCCTCAGCCAGTAGATGGCAGTAGCCATCCACCAAGCAACGAGCCATCTTCTCTCCCTCTGTTGTTTTTCCTCTCCTCTTCTCCTCCGTCCGTCTGTCTGCGTGCTCTCATGAAGGGCAACCTGCCAGCGATGGAGACATACATGTTCAACTCTCTGGTGTCATTTATACCGCTCTGTCTCTTTCTGTATCCTTCTCTTTCATCCCTCTCTCAGTCTGTCTTCATCTGTGTCTCTCTTTCTCCTGCTTTAGATCCTTCCTGTCTCTGTCTCTTGTTATCTCTCCGCCTTGTTGTGTTTTCTTTCTTTCATCTCTTTTCTTTAGTTTATTTCTCTTTCAATCTTTTCCTCTATTTGTTGTTCTTTTTCTCACATTCCTGCCACCCTTCTTCTCCTCCTCTTTTCCTTCAGTAGTTTTATTTCTCCATTTCTTTTCTGGATTTATCTCAGTCCAACCCTTTCCCTCCCTTTCTGTGTCTCCACTCTCTCTTTCTCTCAGTGCATCTTTTTTTAACTTTTTGCCATCCTCCTTTATTTCCCTCCCCGTATCTGCGGCTCTATCTTTCTCTCTCCCCCCCCGTCTCTCTGTATTTATCCTAATGCGTGTTTACCTGTTACGTCCTGCGGGTCTCGTTTTTGTTCTCTCTCTGTCCTTGAATTAATTCCTCTGGAATCAGCTCTGAAACACCGTTCGGCCGCTCCCCCACTCCTCTTCTCTCCACTCTTTTATCCTCTTCTCCTCCTTCCAATCTGTTGCTCTTTCCTCCCTCTCCCTCCCTGTTGCATTCCATTACCTGTTGGATTTCTTTCTTTTGACTCTCCAGCATTTTACATTTTGACTACCCCTTTATTTTGCTCCATTTTCTGTTCCCATTTTTCTCTTTCTCACTTTTTTTGTACTCTTCCTCTCATTCTCTCCATCCTCTGTTTCATGTTTTGATGTGACTCCAGCAGGCTCTGGACAGCAGTGTTTATTCATGTTATTATTATTATTATTTTTAAATCATCTGACTAAATTCTCTGTCTCTCTCTCTCTCTCTCTCTCTCTCTCTCTGTCCCTCTGCCTCTCTCGTCCCCAGTGTTTCGTGCAGCAGTTGGACGGGTTCATCTTGTGGCTGCAGGACGCGCTGGACAGCACAGAAAACTGGACGCAGCCCAGACAGGATCTGGACAGCCTGCGGGTGTACCTGGACACACACCTGGTGAGAACACACACACGCAGACACACACACACTTTAAGGACCCACATTAACATAATACATCCCCCAACCTTTACCTAATTCTAACCTTAAAACCAAGTCTTAACCCTCAAGCAGCCGTTTAAAGAAGTTAGGACTAAAAATGGTTCTCACAAAGATACAATAGCACACACACACACACACACACACACACACACACACACACAAATCCCATGTACCTTTAAGTGTACATGAGTGCTGTGTCCAATCTCATGTCTATACGCATATTGCACACACGCTTGTATGAACACATATTTGCATACATGCATATGTATTAGCCCGTGTGCCACACACACACACACACACACATACACACACACACACACACACACACACACACACACCTGCCAGTTTTAACAGCTGAATAATTTCACCTGTCACTGCTACCTGTTTGAACGCTGACTCTCTGTTTAAAGCAGATTCTACACTCAAAGCAACAACAGTAACAATGAGCCAGATTCAGAGTCAGATTTATGAACTCAGGTTGTATATAGTATGTAGAACAAACAACACCATACAATAATGACAAACACCGCCACGAGGCAGGAACCGAGTAGAATATAAAGTACTGCGATCCCTCTCTTTTTTTAGCCAAATTTAGTTTGATTTTCTGGCACGGTTCCCACAAGTCCTTGAAATATTTTTCTTTTATCTGAAACTTTATGTTGCTGTCTTGGTCAGGACTCCCATTGTAAAAGAGATGTTGAATCTCAGTGGGAATATTCCTGGTATAATAAAGGTCAAGCAAAATAAAAAGTATACATGAATAGACACGGGTCATTGACAGTGCTTGAATTTATATAGTTTGTGCAAGAAAAGTTCTTTTGATATTTTTTTAAATTATTATTGATTTGTTTTACTCCCTCTTTTAATTGGTTGTCTGTGAGCTTAACCTTGATCCGTGTCTCAAACTATGCCGTGTTGGGTCCTTGAATTTGAGGGAATTAGGCCTGAAAAGTCTTTGAAAAGTCCTGTAATTTGATGTTTAAGAAGGTGTGGGGACTCTAATCTTAGTGGTCTTCTGTACCACATGATGCCGTATGATCAAAGCGTAAACGAGTGCGTGTTAGACGATGGAAAAGCTTTGAATCTTCTATGAAGAATGTGATGAGTGACGACTGGGACAGACTCTGTGGCCTCGTCTGTCACATGTGGTTGAATTGCTGTTAATCACTCCCTTTTATATGCAAATGTTGAGTTCAAATCATATGATAGAAATCACAGGGCAAAAATCTACACATAGGCTACGTGCACACACACACACACACACACACACACACACACACACACACACACACACACACACACACACACACATACACACACACAGTGGCTACTGATGAGTTACTGTATGTACAACTAAATTTGTTCTTGTCAGCTTCAGTCATGCTTTAGTTCTTCTCAGACGCCTCCAGGTTTACTGTATCATCCTTATTTTAACATTACTATGAGTTGTGCGTACGTTTTCTACAGCAGAGTCTGCAGGATTATGGACTTGTGTGCATAAAGAAGACCACGAGGAAGCCCTGAAACTGCTTCTGACATTGGGATTTAACCATGCAGTTACCCGCCTGTAATTTATGAAGATAAAATTATTTGTTTAAGCTCATCTCTTAAGCAGGCAGCATGAGTTTATTTTAGAAGATAATTCAGAAGTTGTGTAGAAAAATAGCGGTTGTAGCAAGTGGCTAACACTCCACTAAAGTATGTGTCCAGATTTCATTCTAAACACAAGACGTAGTACACTCACAACAAGGAAATTAAAATTAATTGCACAAATACGCCGTCGGCAGCTTAAAAAAACACATTCATTTCCTGTTTGTGTTTCCCACATGTGGGAAATATGCTACCACAGGCTGCAACATGTGGAGCACATGTGGAAATCATGGCACTGCATGTTGCAACACAATCACATGGGAGTTTACATGGGCTTCACACATTACACCACAAAAATGTTCCAAAACCACGTTTCACATGTGTTCCTGCACGTTGGGCACGGTGCTGACGGCAAACACAGCGCACTTCCACTCGGCCCAGATACAGCAATCAATTCCAGTACAGTGTGGGCTGTGGATCTGGTAGCCACTCACAGTATAGCTCATGACATAGCCATATCTCAGCCTACTGTATGACCATAGCTGGCTCTATTCTGGTCCTATGTTGGATCAGACTAGTTTCAGCAGTGGTTCCAGATGTCAGCTTCAAACAAACCTTAACCAAGCCTCTCGCCATATTTGGCCCAGATGAAAAATTATGAACAAATATTTATTGATTTTTCACATCTTATCAAACAGTCAGACAGTCTATCTTCCTCTCCTCCCAGACAGCTCTGTATGTGTAGTAATGTGTAGTAGTATATCTATTTATAGTTTATTTGGACCGACACAGTAAAAACAGCTATCTGACACGAGTGTCAGTGTTTATAGCAGATGCTAATTCCCATCCAACACCCGTCCCCAGAAGGGCTTTTGTGAAAATAAGAGGTTAAAACAGGAAGGTGAAAGAGTAAAAAGATTCATAAAACACAGAATTAAACAAGATTTGGTCCCTTATAAGTGTTTGAGTTCCAGGACAAAAGATGTATTAATGAAATGAGTAAATCCATCCAGTAAACACCCAAACATACTTTATTAATCACTCCAACAGAAGTTACACTGCGAGTTATATTACTTTTCTACTACTCTTGATCAAATTGGAAATTGTTTTAGTTTCCTCCACGGTTACAGAAAGGAATCTAAGGATGTGATTGGATTGTTGGATTTCAAATTAATAGCAAAAGTAATGTTGTAACTAATTCTTGTTTGGGGGGGGGGGGGTTACTGTGATATAATTATAGAAATGTATTAGTAATTAGTTACACTACTAGTTACTGTTGGAACGCCATGTGTGGCAGCCAGATTTGAGCCAGGTGTATATTGCCATGTGGGGGAGGGTGTTCCTGATGGACTGCACTGTTCTTACTATTGGCCAACAAGTTGACACAATCAAGGAATTTGTCCGTTTTCAGCGGCCTTCAAGTTCACAGGAAGAAATAAAGTCATGATGTAACAAAAGAGAGAATGAAGAGGCTCCTCTCCTCGTGGCTGGGAACAAATGTTAGACGGTTGAGTGATGGCTTCAGCTTCAGGACGCTGGGTGAAGCTCTGACTCACCAGTCAGCCTACTTTAATAGTTTGAACAGTCTGATTGAGGGTTTCTGTTCTTTGGAGAAAGGTTTCAAACCATGACTCCAAATATAAAAGTGACAGCATTTGAAACAAAAGAAATAGTCCAAATAAATACAGTAAATTCTCACATGTCAAAATACTGTCAACACCTCCAGATTATGTGGGGGCAGCAGACCAGTGTAAAACGATATTACTGTTACAGTTAATGCAATAAGACAACATGTTATTTTAAGGATGAGCACTTCAGATAAACTAAGCTCTCAGTCAGCTGTCAGTCAGTGAGCAGTAGCAGATTCACACTGGAGGAGGGTTCAGATATTACCTGCAGGAGTCAAAGGTCAGTTGTTACTGCATCCTGCAACAAAAGAGCGATGGTGAGAGGGATGAGGGGAAAATAACAATGAGCTGAGGGATGAACACAGACTGTTTCCCATTTCATCTTCGCCGCTTTTATCCTCATTTCTCTTTTTTTTTGTTCCAATTTGTTTTCATCTGCATCTCTGTCTTCCTTTCTCTTTTCATTTTATCTGTTTGTTTTCTCACCATCTGGCCCTCACTTGCTCTCCTGCTTCCTTTCGTCTTCCTCCGTCTTCCTCCGTCTTCCTCCGTCTTCCTCCGTTATCGTTCCACCTTTGTTTGTTCTACTAAATAGAAACTCTCTGTGTTTCTCTAATTTACACACACACATCCCCTAAAACAGCAGAGTGCCTATAGATCAGAGTGCTGCATCACTGTACACACTCACACACACACACAAGAGAGAGAGAGAGAGAGAGAGAGAGAGAGAGACAGATGAGAAGCACTTTGGCAATTACTCACACTCTTTATGGCAAACATATGGGCTTCACACGTGCCACACACACACACACACACACACACACACACACACAGCAGCAGCACTCATCAAAACTGCATTCAAGAGTACAAGGAAATGAGACATGAACACACACACACACACACACACACACACACACACACACACACACACGTTGCATATGAATGTAAAAAACAACTGATGTACAAGAGTGTGTACGCACGCACACACACACACACACACACACTAGACAAACAAACAGACAGTATTTGCATATAAGCGAACAAATGCAAACGTATATGCACAACAGTAGGCATGTGTTTTAGCTGCACACACACACACACACACACCCAGAGGTGCTATTTGCATACATTTGCATGTTCCTAGACAGATTTCCAAATCAGCATCTCCATATCCGTCCCCGCAGAACAGCATCACACACACCGATCCACACACACACACACACACACACACACACACACACAGCAGAAATAAATATCTAGATAAGACAACTCTGTGTGTGTGTGTGTGTGTGTGTGTGTGTGTGTGTGTGTGTGTGTGTGTGTTTGTGTGTTTGTTTTTGGTTTGTTTACACGTGTCGACTTTGTTGTGGTTGCCAGCAGTGCTAACGTTAGCGGCGGTTAGCTTCAATTAGAATTCCGGGCTCTTAATTGGCGTGTCTCGTTAAATAAAGCAAAAGAGGATGAAAAAGCATCGCTAATAGGACTTTGAACTGCCACGCTGTTGATAGCGTGTTAGCTAACTGACTCTGTGTTTGAGTGTGTGTGTCTGTGTCGATAGTCACACTTGCACTTTGTAGTTATTAGTGTGTGTTTGGGTGCATAATTGTGAGTGTGTGTTTGGTTGATTACAGCAGAGAGACAGGTTCTCTTTCTCTTCTCTTTGTCTCAGTGTCCATCTCTCTTTTCTTCTGTTTCTTCTGAGTTTTCTTTCTTTTTATACTTTCCTCTCCAACCAATTTG